GGGAATGTGGGGTGCTGCTGGGTGCCCCCGGGCAGTCACAGGTGCCTCCAGCACCAGCGGTGTTAAGGGACCCCAGACCTCCAGCCGCAAGTGCCAGCTCTGGGTGCTACTTTGGGAAAAAGGGAAATGGGAAACTTTCCTCCCAAGGCCCTGGCCGCTGGCACCGTCTCGGCACCGTGCCACCCACGCAAGGGCCGTGGAAGGGCTGAAAACCTGCCTTTCCTTTGCGACCTCTTCGTTTGGATGATGATGGGTACTTGAAAAGTGCCCCCTGCCCCTCCCCGAATACCGGGGTTTGACGGCGTGTCCCTTTCACTGCCCAGACGAGCGCCCCACTGCAGAGGAGATGGACGAGCAGAGGAGGCAGCACGTCGCCTACCAGTACCTGTGTCACTTGGAGGAAGCCAAGCGGTAGGGCTGGACCTGGGGAGACCCCTCAGCCTCGGGCCCAAATTTGGAGGGGGAGGGAAGGGAATAAGTGTGTCTGGGTGCAAGGCATAACACTGCAGGATCCTGCCTGCTCCTGGGGCTTTCTGGACCTTCCAAGGCGGTGCGGGGGGCGGGGGCATTCAGCCATGCTGTTGCGCCCAAACTGAGAAGCACACATCCGCTAAACCCTGCAGCAAAGGGGTGGGGGCCAGCCCCTCCCTGCCATGATGGGGGAAATTGATGGAGATGGAGGGGGGTGGGGGTGTATCTCTGGGTGCTGCTTTTCCTGCCTCGGAGAGGGTACTGGGGGTCTGCAAGGTGCCCCATCTCGGCCCTGCCAGCTGGATGGAGGCTTGCCTGAGCGAGGAGCTGCCCCCCCCGACAGAGCTGGAAGAGAGCCTCCGCAATGGGGTTATCCTGGCCAAGCTGGGCCACTGCTTTGCCCCTGCCGTGGTCCCTCTGAAGAAGATCTACGACCGTGAGCAGACGCGGTACAAGGTAAGACCTGCAGCACCAGGAGGGGGGGTGTATGCATTCCTTACGGCGTACCCCAAAAGCTGCAGGGACCTTTCCATGGCTGATGAACGCCAAGTGAGGAGGGACATAGCCATCGCAGTCATTAAGGGACAATTTAATAGAGTGCTGCTGTCAAGGAGGTCTCTGAGCTGTGCTGCCCTGAGGGGGTCACGGGCTTTACCTCTGTATTTAACCTCATGCCCCAGCTGGGTGGGTTTGGGGGAGAGGGTGACCCCAGGGATGGGAGAAGGTGGGGTTCAGCCTGCCCCTTTCTCTCTTGCAGGCAGCTGGGCTTCACTTTCGGCACACGGACAACATAAACTACTGGCGCGATGCCATGAGCCACGTGGGACTTCCCTTGGTAACGTCCCCCGCTCCGCTCTCCCTGGGCCTTCACCCTTGGGTGGCACCAGGGCTGCGTGCTGCAGGCTTGGCTCTTTGTGGGGAGTAGTGGTGTTGCAGGGGGTGCTTCGGCTCTGTCCCCCCACCCTTAGACACCATTCTCTCTGTGGACCATCTCGGTGCCATCTCCACCTGACCTGCCTCTTGTCTTGTTGGCAGATCTTCCACCCGGAGACCACCGACATCTACGACAAGAAGAACATGCCCCGGGTTGTCTACTGCATCCATGCGCTCAGGTGGGTGTCCCTGGCCTGGCCCTGGGGCCAAAACTGTTGTCGTGGTTTGTGTTTGTGCTCACGAACCCTTTGGTGGCATCACCCCCAGCGTTGGGATGATAGCCTCAGGAGGGGGAAGCGACTGCACAGTTGTGGCACGTGTCTGCTTCATCTTTCAGCTTGTACCTCTTCAAGCTGGGGATGGCTCCGCAGATCCAGGACTTGTATGGGAAAGTGGACTTCACTGGTACGACACAGCACGGGGGAAGCTGGGCTAGGGGTTGGCGATGAGGGTTTGCCAACAACGTTCTTGGATCCCTGCGGTGGGAGGGATGCGAGGAATGAAGACCTTGGGCAAGCTTTTCCAGAGCTGCCCCGGTGATGCTTACCCTAGCGTGGGTGTTCTCTGCACCCCTCCAGTTTGTCAGGGGAGCGGGGGGCTCTGCTGGTTAGCCCTGCTCCAGTGCTGGAACATGGTGGTGGTGCTGAGCGGTGATGCCTCTGTGCTCTGCTCCAGAGGAGGAGATCGACAACATGAAGCGAGAGCTGGAGAAGTACGGCCTGCAGCTGCCCGCCTTCAGCAAGATCGGGGGCATTTTGGCCAACGAGCTCTCGGTGGACGAAGCAGCAGGTAATGGGTGCCTGCAGGGGAGCGGTGCTGGTTGGACAGGTGTGTGGGTGGTTGGAGAGGCTGTGGAGGCACCTGGTCGCTCCACTTCAGACCCATATGTGGCTGCAACGGGCTGGCCCAGCCTTAGCCAGCAGCCCCTGGGGTTTTGCATTAGCTGGAATTGCTGTAGAGACTTCTCAGGCACTGGAGGCTGTAGGTTGCTCTTTGAGAAGTTTGGGGTTTCTCACCATCACATGCGGCGCAGCTTGTCCCACCGCACACAGGGACATAGTGGATGGCCCGTCGCAGCCCTCTGTGCCCTGTCCCACCCACCTCCTTCCCACTTCGCCTTCAGTCCATGCCGCGGTGCTGGCGATCAATGAAGCGGTGGACCGGGGGGTGGTGGCTCAGACGATGGCGGCTCTCCACAACCCCAGCGCGATGCTTCTCGACCTGCGTGAGGTGCTGGCTGGTGCCTACCAGGAGGTGCTCCACCAGGCAAAGCTGGAGAAGGGCAGCAATGCCAGGAACAGGGTGAGGAGGTCATGGGGGTGCTGGGAGAGGAGCAGCTCCTTTGCTGGTGTGCTGGTGGGTGCTTCCAGCTGGAGGGGTCTCTCGGTCAGAGACCTTTCCCATGTTTGGGGGGGTAAAACACAGCCTGGAAGCCCTTGGGCTGATCAGAAGATGAGGGTGGGAAAGTGGTGGGGAAATGATTCCTCTTTGGAGGCTGCTTGAACCTGGGTTTGGGGTCAGGAAACGAGCCCAAGCATCTGCAGGAGACCCCTGCTACGTAGGCAGCAAGTTCAGGGTGGGGAGTCTCTCTCCAGTACCTGCAGGTGATCCCCGAGGGAGAGGACATCTACGATCGCTGTCTGACCCAGGCTGAAATCCAAGGGAACATCAACAAAGTGAACGGTGAGCAAAGCTGTGAGGGGGATCTCCAGAGCTTATTGGTGGGACTGTGGTACCCCAGGCTGGAGGGGAGAGCCTGCCCGGGGTGGTGGGCACAGCAGAAAGGAGGAGCTGTCTGCTCAGGCCAGCTTTGGACACGGTGGGGAGCAGGGCTGTGTGTGCATTTCCAAGGAAAAATTAAAATTATCGGTACACAGGCTTCAACTGGAGCTCCCTGGAGCTGTGGGGTGATTTACCTGCTTCACCTTCTCTCGGTGTAAACTGGCCTCTTTCCTAGTGCACGGAGCTCTGGAGGAGGTGGACGATGCCCTGGAGAGACAGGAAGCGCCGGCACTGTACCGTGCGCTGCAGGACCCCGTCCTGGCCCTGCACTGCCTCCACCAGGACAACATCCACCACTACCTGGAGCAGCTCAGCATGGACCGGGAACAGAAGGCACTGGTAGGGACGGGCGGGAGCCTGCGGGTGTGGGGTATCCGTGCTGGGGTGGCACCCCAGGAGCTGCGGTGGTCTCCAGGAGGAGGGGGTTTCCCCCTGGGCGGGGGGGTCTGAGTGTGGCTGCTCCGTCAATGGAAGCAGTTCTGGTGTGAGAGCAGAGGTCCCAGTTTCTGCCCGCTGCAGGAGCTGGGCTACGTGGACCTGCTGGAGCAGGAGGAGGTGGAGGCAGGGATCCTTGTGGCGAACAAGAAGGGCAAGGAGGAGCGAGGCAGTGAGTGGCTGGGGTGGATGCGGTGCTCGTGCCAGGTTTTGCTGCCTGGTGCATCCCCTGCGCCACCTCCTGCAACCCACCCATGCCCACTCCCCCTGGTCCTCCCTCTCAGTGCTGCAGGCCATCAGCCGCATCAACGCAACCATCCGTCGAGGGATGCCGGCCAAAACGTTGGAAGCGCTGGTGGACCCTGCGGCGCGGCTGCCTGACGTGTACCCACCTGCCGCCCCCCTGTACCAGCACCAGCTGGCCCTGCTGCAGTGCCAGCACCCACGGGTGAGAGCTCACCCAGGGACAGGCTCTGGGTCCCATCGGCAGGGGGGGGATCGATACCTCTGCTAGGATGGAGGTGGTGCCTCCCCCTGCACCTGGAGGGGCTGCTGGGGCTGGAGAATGGGAGTATGGGGGGTCAGTGTCTCTGCCCACCCCGCACAGGGGGAGCTGGTGCAGGAGGAGCTGTTTGTGGCTGTGGAGATGCTTTCGGCCGTGGCGCTGGTTAATCAAGCCTTGGACGCCGGGGACCCCGATGGGCTCTGGAGCAGCCTGGTCAGCCCTGACCTGGGCCTCTCGGGTGTCGAGGATGCAAATGCGCAGCGGTGAGGAGACTGTTGCCATGTTTGGGGTCAGTGGTGTGAAGCAGACCCTTGGGGAGGAGGTGGTCAGGGGCCTGGGCTTTTGGGGCTTGTTTGCCCAGCCTCCCTGCCCTGTGCCTTACCTTTTCCCCTTTGAAAAGCAAGGCACCTGGCTCTGGCAGGCGCTGTTCCTGCTTAAAATGCACCACACCAATCCCCCATGTCTCTCCTGCAGGTATTTCGAGGACTTGCTGCAGCTGAAAGGCCAACCTAGGGAAGTAGGAGCGGAGTTCCTGAGCTGGAATGACATTCAGGACAGTGTGACCAACACCAACTCATCAGTGCAAGATGAAAACAACCGTGAGTCCTGCCCATGAGGGGTCTAGTCGAGCAGGGGGTTCTGCAAACTTTCCAGGAGGGAGGTTGCACTGGGAGCCCAGCCGTAGCGAGACACCAGAGACACTCACACTACTCTGGGCTGCAACTCTGTTGGGCACTCGGAGCATTTGGGGAGCTGAACAGTCTGTTCCTTTCCTCCCGTGCAGGAGTCCTTGCTGTCAGGCTGATCAACGAGGCGCTGGTGCAGGCGGACCCTGAGAAGACGCTGGCGGCATTGCTGCTACCGGCAGCCGCCCTGCCCGACGTCACCCTCCCGACCGCTTGGCGCTACCATGATGTCCTGGCCCGGGCACGAAGGCAGAAAGCCCAGGTGGGGTGGCATCCCCCCGGCAGCATGGCATCCCCCTGGCCATGCGGCATCCTGCAAAGCCAATGGCGCTCAAGGGGTGATTTAGTGTAAGACCAATGTGATTGGGGCTGCCCAGCTCCCCCTCCACCATTTCCCCCTGTCTCGCAGGCCACAGAGGACGATGGAGCTGTGCTTTGGTGGGAAGAGATCCAGGAAGGGGTCTGTAGGGCCAACCAAGATACGGTGGCAGCCAGGAGGAGTGAGTGCTCTTACCAACGTGGGTGCTGGGTGCAGGACCTGTCGGTCAGGGTGCTGCTGTGGGGTGGGGGAGGAGAGAAGGGGCTCGTGTGAGCTGCCCTTCTCTGCTCCCGCAGTGGCTCTGGG